ATATAAAATATTAAATATATATATATATATATATATATATATATATATATATATATATAATTTGTATCTTACCACAAATATTTATGGATATTAAAAAATAAAAAATAAAGTCACAATTATTTTTAAAACATAAGTAAAAAAAAACATAAACTATATAAACTAAAACAGAATTAGAAAATTTTCATCTGATACTTTTAAACAAGTTTATTAAATACGTATTACAAATTTGATCTCGGACCATCCACAGTAATGAATATTTTTTTCATCCATAACTCATCCACTTGTCATTTCTACCATACTAGAACTTCATATATGATTTCTTCTCTTAAAAATTGATTATAAAGGCTATATCATTTCTAGCATTTTTGGAAAAGTTAAACAAAGTTCTTAGTTATTGCATTACACGTGCATTTCAGGTTTTTTTTTTTTTTAATCTTTTAACACTTATAATATTTTTTTTTCACAGTGTTTATTGGTGTGATGTATTTATTATTAATCTTAATTGAAACTGAACATTTTTATTTACATATTTTCTCTAAACCACATTATTTTTATTTACAATATTCAAATTTAAAAGTTGATTTAAAAATCTGAAAATCAGTTCCATAGGGCCAGATGTTGATAATACTTTGTGTTTGATCGTAATAAATGGAGCATTTGTTTTAATTAATAGTATACCTTAAAATTTCAGAAAAAATAATGGTAATGCAAACGTAAATTTTCTGTGCTCCTAATCCACAAATGCATGTCCAAATACACACTAACTAAATCATGTTTAACAGTAAGAGTAAAACAAAACACAAAACACAAACAAATTTTCCTTGTTCTCTCTGCTCACCAAAGAGCCTGAACAAGTAAGAAATATAACAAGTTATGCATAGAAAAATAGCAGAATATTGATTCAATGTTAAGGAGATGTGTTCCAATCCAACAGAAAAATTGGTGAATTTGCCCGAAATTCACCCTCAGAGTATAGTTAAGCAGAAGTAGCACTTTCACATTCTGGCTTTAGCAACCACAATAGTGCCTCCATCAATGTCAACAGCTCCTGACCTAGTCCATGACTCTTTAAACTGCTCTTCGGTTACTCCTACAGAAACATCATAGGGAAAAAAGGGAAACATCTTAGTATGCTAACTGATTAAAAATCTTTCTAATGACAGTGAAAAACACAGTACTTTGTTGATGCAATCATGAAAACTTAAAGAAATGAAAGCATGGTGTATTGTTAGTGACACTAACTTAGTGTGTGAGAGTGAATGACTTGCCTTTTCCCATTGCAGCAGTTGAAGCCACACCTCCTTGGACAGTCTTGAGGTATCTGTCATAGTAGTTAGCACCAGCCCATTTCTGGTGAGCAAGAGTGTCAACTCCATTGTTCCTCTCCTCTCTCTGAATCCTCTCAACATAAGCCAGCATGCCTCTTTTGGCAAAGTCTCTTGAAAATGTTGAAGTGATGAGTGCATTAGAATGCAGACCTCCAACTGTGATGAACTGCCACACATACCCCAACTTTGCAATCTTGGGAATGAAGTCTCTCATTTGCTCATCACTCATGCCAGAAGCATCCCAATTGAAAGATGGAGAGAGGTTGTAGCCAAGCATCATCTCAGGGTGCTTTGATCTAACCCCCTCAGAAAACTCTATGCACTCACCCACATTGGGGCTTGCAGTTTCCATCCATATCACATCAGCATGTGGAGCAAAAGCCCAACCTCTCACAACTGATGCTGTTACAGACCCTTTGAACCTGTAAAACCCTTCTCTAGTCCTAGGCAAGTCCCAGTCCCAAAACAGCTTCCTCACTCCTAACCTCTCTGCTATCTCCCTTCCTTCTTCATTGGAAAGACACCTTTCATAACTTGAATGCTGCTTCCACTCATTCAACTTCCTTCTCTTCTCTTCCTCTCCAATGTTCTGTCTCTCTATTGCTTCCACAACTGCTTCTGACAGAGTCTTCAACTCTGCCTTTGACAGCCACTCATCCTCCAAAGCCTGAAGTTCTGCTCCACTTTTCCCAGCAGCCATGTCTTCTGCCATAAGAGCTGCCAAGCTCTTTCCCCTCAGGTTTGGGTTGGTCACACCCAAGATAAATTGGTGGTCCCTAGTGTCAATGTTAGATTGAATCAAATTAGCAGCTTCTGCATCTGTTCTGGCCACCAGCACAGTTTCCACCCCCATAACATCAAACTGAAGCCTTGCTGCCACTAGCCTATTGATGTGTTCACTGATGGCAACCAGAACTTTCCCTGCCATGTGGCCACACTTTTTTGTCACAGAAGACTGGTCCTCAATGTGGATGCCAGCAGCACCTCTCTCCACAAAGAGCTTGCAAAGCTTCACAGTTGCTGTGGTGCCACCAAAACCTGTGTCACCATCAGCTATGATGGGTCTCAAGTAATCAACATAAGGGGTTCTTGCCCTCTCTTCCCTGCTCATGTTCATTCTCTCCTCTTTTTGTTTCCTGTCATGGTATTGCTGAGCGAAGAAGAGATGCTCAACCTTGTTGGGGACAGTGTCATAAGGGTAATCGGCAAGGTCAGGGCCTGGCTCATTGGTGGTGGTGTGAGTGGCTGAACACTGCCATCCTGAGACATAGATGGTGTCCAAGTGCTTCGCCATCTGAGTGACCTGAACAGGGTCAAGTGCACCAAAAGTCCTTGAAGCTGTGCCATTGGCTTGGTGGTTCTTCAGATTGCGCCATAGCTTTTTGGCCATCTCACCCGAGCCATAGCTTTGTCTGAGGTTTCCTCTCAGGGACACCACATCTCTAGCTGAGTATGGCCTTTTGGTTAGCTTGAACCTCTCAGAGTTCCACCATGCTTGCACCTCTGCCACTTCGGCTTCAAACCTGGCTTCTTCTTCCACTATCTGTTCATGTATAATTTGCATCAGCATTTATTCAAGTATGCTGAGATAGCAAAACATGTATTACATAAATTTTTTCAATCCGAAATAAGTTTACCATAACAACAATTATGCTGTGGTTGGTTTTACCGCTCGAAGAAAAGTTCAATCAGTTTGCATTAAACTAGTTTTTGCAAACAAATGAAAGCAAAGCAGAGCAAAAGTGCAGGGAATTATTGAACTTACGGATGAAGGAATAAAGAGTGATGAAGCCATGGTCAGAACTCTTTCTTTTTCGGTAAATGTTATGACTTGAACAACTTTGAGAAGCTCATGAAAAAGGTCCNCCTCTCAGAGTTCCACCATGCTTGCACCTCTGCCACTTCGGCTTCAAACCTGGCTTCTTCTTCCACTATCTGTTCATGTATAATTTGCATCAGCATTTATTCAAGTATGCTGAGATAGCAAAACATGTATTACATAAATTTTTTCAATCCGAAATAAGTTTACCATAACAACAATTATGCTGTGGTTGGTTTTACCGCTCGAAGAAAAGTTCAATCAGTTTGCATTAAACTAGTTTTTGCAAACAAATGAAAGCAAAGCAGAGCAAAAGTGCAGGGAATTATTGAACTTACGGATGAAGGAATAAAGAGTGATGAAGCCATGGTCAGAACTCTTTCTTTTTCGGTAAATGTTATGACTTGAACAACTTTGAGAAGCTCATGAAAAAGGTCCTCAATTTATACAGCAACAGGGTCACTATCTAGACGAAGTCCTTGAAAGAATGGTAACTTAGATGAGACTACGGAAAAGAGAAACAAACAAAAACCCAGAAATTTTATCTGATCATATCTAATGTCTTTTGTTATTCTCTTACTTCCAAAATTCCGAAACGTGACTCTTGAAAGCTGCATTTGCAAGCACGTATGGTGGTGTGGCACATTACTAACGCTCATATTCGTGGGTTTTTGTAAGAAATAAGGTAAATCGGCATCCTATATGAAAAAGTTGATTTTATATGAAAAAATTGTGCATTTAGTCAATTTAATTTCTGTTATATTTAAAGTCGTGCATTTGTTGAAGGACTTTTATGCATTGTAATTAAGGAGAATTGATAATTGATTGTTGAAGCAGTGTATCCCTAAATAACTTTACTAATGAATCTTTGAAATAGTTTATCTTCACCCAACTTAAACAATACGATTACTAGTTTTTGGAATCGATTATAACGCGTTGAAGTTATATAAAAAATACATAATTTTAACTTTTCAAATATAACAAAACTGAAGTTGAAAATGTACAACTTTTTCATATAAAATCGTATAAAGACTATGCAACTTGTCTATATTTATAATTTTTTTTTTTAAATCTGTTTATCATCGTAACACACAGGAACCGGTTTACTATTCTTGTAAAAGAACTGTGATCTTCCATTTAGTATCATGTCAATCACAACACCTGTTCTAAAGACTTTGATCTTACAAATTACTTTTTAATGAATAATCAGTGAGATTTGTTCTTTAATTATTAGTAAACGATTAACATCTGATATATCAAAATTAAAGTACATCGTTGAAAATAATTTTTACATTATAAAGTCACCCAAATTATAAGAGGTTCACATAAAAGCAACTAACTGTATATGTGAAGACAATAAAAGACATACATTTCGTGCAACTTCATCATTTATCATAGTCACAACATGGTTTTGACTTCTACGCAAGGTTCCTACAGTCACAGTACCGTGATGAAAATCACACAAGAAAACTTGACGCAGTTTTGTGATAATGTCTTTTTGTTTTTGTTTGTCCTTACACAATATTAACAGAAAAAGAATATCGTTAATTGATTGAAAAAAAAACTAAATTAATTTCACTTTTAAGATTAGAAGGTTAAACTAATGTGAATTTTTTAGCGAATTACAGTGGTATATATTTGAAAGATTAAAATGGGAATTTCTTTTTTTCTAAAGAAGGGTATTAAAATAAAATATTGGGAAATATTATAGATATTATATACAATATTCATCTATATTTTATTGGTTTAATATCTTCATAAGTTCCTATTTTTATCCAGCATTTCAAATAGGATCCTTTCTTTTTTCGCGTCTCAATTGGATCCTTATTTTTGTAAAATTTGAACAATTAAAGGTCTGTCGTTAAATTAAGCAAACGACCGTTTAAGTGTTGATTACATGGCATGTCAAACTTCAAGTTAATGAGACGTGGCATTATAAATTAATTTTGTATTAAAAGTTATGAATGCATGATGATGTAATAAGCTTTTTGAAAGGGCAAAGTGGGAAAAATAAAGACTTTCTACTTCTTCTTCTACCTCCACATTCTCGCTCCTGCGTCCCAAATTTCCATGGCTGCGTTTTGGTTCTTTTGAATTGGGAATGCACGAACCTTGAAGGTGGTTTCCCTTGCAGGTTACGATTGGGATTCTGGCGTAGAGGAGGTGGATAAAGATTCACAATGGTGCTCTGGATGCTTTTTGAGGGTTTCTGTTATGGCGAAATTTGGGGGTTTTTGGGTTTTTCTAGTTTGGCTTTGCTAGTTCGGTGATGGTGGGGAGCGATAGTTTTAGTGCTTGCAGTTGGAGCGTGGAGGAGATTGAATCTTGCGATCTGGCAGAGAGGAACACGCTACTGGTTATGCGATAGTGGAGAAGATAAAGATGTCGCGGCACTCTTGCGATGATGGAAGGACATGGTCTGAAGGTTCTCGCGACAGTGTCCATGGTAGCGCGAGGTAAGATTGGACGAACTCTGTCTTTGTGTCGCGGGGGTCATAGAGGTTGGCAATTTGGGTGGTGCGACTGGGTTGTCTGCTTTGCGCGAATTGGGGTTCATGGTGTTGGTGGCGACGACTTTCGCTCCGACGAGGATGATGATGGTGGAGGCGCGCGATGATGATTTTGCGAATTGGTTTTCTCTGTTTAGGTTTCTGCGATTTTGTGCTTTGATTGACAAAGAAGATGATGCGGGTGTGTCGCGATTCTGATGGTGGTGGCTGTGGAGGCTCGCGACTCTGCAGTGTCATTAACGTTGTAGATGAACAGTGGTTGTGGGCCACGGCGAGATGAGCAAGGTGGTCGTGCTTCAACTTGTTTCAAACCGATGTTCTTCCCCACCAACACTTGCATCTACTTCAACAACAACGATTTTGTGGATGAATGATGAGGCCTATGACTCAAATTTCCCCAATTTCATTTCGACATAGCAATTGGAGAGAGAATGTATAATACCAATTTCCAACTTTGCCCTTTCTTTAATTGAATTTACATTCTGATTACTTAATTTTTTTAATTCAAAATTTAAAATAATAGAATTGAGTCACGTTTTTAATGACATATATGTTAAAACACTGTCAGCATGTCAGGTGACACAATCCTTAACGTTGTTTGATCAATTTGACGGAAAGTTCCTATTTGATTCAATTTTACAAAAATAAGGACCCAATTGAGACGTCAAAAAAGAAAGGGTTCTATTTGAAATTCTGGATAAAAATAGGGACTTATGAAGATATTAAACCAATTTTATTCTAATAAAGGAGAAGCGGAAGAATTGTGTAGAATCTCAAATAAATATTTAAAAAGTTATAAGTCATGCTTAGAATATGTTACTTTAAGATTAAAGAAAAGTTTTTCAAAGCATATGAAAATGTAAATACTTTGTTTCTCTATATCTTTGGTGTTTATTAAAAAAAGTATGATATTCGAATGGAGGACAACACAACAAATACATAAATGTAAGTTAACTAAATTAAATGAATATACAACAACACATTTTATTCGAAACATAACATCAATTTATTTCATTAATACACTGCAATTTATATTTAATTAGATAACTTTCTTAATATTGCATCGAATTCTACATCAAAAGAATAACATTTGGTCTAATCACTAATTATTTGCTTTTAAAGTAGAAAACATCATATCAACACATAAGTGTAAGCTAACTAAACTAAATGAATGTACAACAATACATGTTCATTCAAAACATAACATCTACCAACAATATTCGTTTCATTGTTCTTCATATTTATTAAGACAACTTCCTTAATATTGCACTTAATACTAAACATCAAAAGACTAACATTTGTCTATGTTTAGTTGACTGGTTATCAAGTCAGATTTTACTTTGATCTAATTGATAACCTAAATTCTCACAAATTAGATTCCAAAACTTTAGGAGAAATTAAGACTTCTCTGAAAAACTTACATTGTTAACAAAAATATTCATTGACTTTCACCACATGACAATGATAAGTGTGATATTTACCTTATATTCACACTTAATTTAATCTCTTTTTCATGCGTTTGTGTAATTTGTCTCACGAAAAGATATAAAAATTGTGTTTTATTGTTCATAGATTAGTTTAATTGTCTTTGTGTATTTATTTTGCAGATGAATAAGATTATAAAAGATTAAAAAAAATCCCTAAAAATTTCACTGTGCACTATTCATCCATTGATCGACACTATTCATCGGTTGATCGACACTATTCATCTGTTGACTGGTACTGTTCATGCGTTGACTTTCACTCCAGCGAATTTCAAGACTCGCTCCAACGAGTTGACCTTTTCCAGAACTTATTAAATGGCCCGAAAACAAAGAAAAGAGGTAGTTTTGGAAGGGGAAATGTTGCTAGAGCCATGGACGAAGGTATGGAGGCACGATACCACTTCAGGAGCTCATGAAGGCCGCTTGGGGCATGTGGAAACATCTTTTTCTCCTCTTTGGGTCTCCTTCTTCTTCCACCCACCATGTTTGTAAGCTCTAAGGTTCTCTATGAAAGTGGAGAACCAGATTCATCTTGTTAGGGATTGTTGTAGCCTATGAATTATTGTGTAATGAATGATTGATTTGAATATATATATATATATATATATATATATATATATATATATATATGTGTGTGTGTGTGTGTGTGTGTGTGTCTTTGCTATCAATCACTAGTATTCTTGTTTCCAATCTTAAAGCTTACATGTAATAGGAATATTTCATTACTTGATTTGTTATTCATGGGTATGGAAACATATTTTTGCATGATCTAGAACTGAAACAAGGGTCCTTGTAGTTCATTGGGAGATGATTTACTTGTTGTCTTAAAATCCTAACTCTTTATTATGGGTTTCCTTGTTAGATTATCCAAGAAATTGGGGATTGAGTAAATTTGTGGATTGACTTTAAATAATTGATAGAAAGGAGATGAAATTAGGTAAGTCCAGAGTGAAATAGGTAAAAATTAACCTTAACAATATCATTTCTCGTCTATGTCATAGCTATCTGTCTTCAATACCAAAGTCCAACCATGTAATTATGTGT